CTTCTAATCTTACAATTTCCTTATCCCCTTTCGATCTCCGGGCTACCAAACGATCTGGCAGGAGTTGATGATATTTTCCGTTCAAGTTCAAAACTATTTAGCCGAGACAATCACCAAACCAACATCTTCTGGTGGAGGAAAAGTCAGGTAAAAGTTTTATAATTCGGATTGCTCATTACTGTGACTTCCTGTTAAGATATTAAGGGCAAGAAGAAGTTTATATGCGGGGGATGATTTTGAAAACACGGAGATTAGTAAAAACGTGTAGGTGCATTAGTGGGTTTAGGCGAGGCAGGTAGTAAGTAAATTAGTAAGGAAGGAAAAAGGGAAGTAGAAAGGAATAGATAAAAGCATAAATAAATAAGTGAATAAGGAAAATAGATATATAAAAGAATAAATAAAGAGAGAGAATGAAAAAAAAAAAAAAAAAAATACCGCTGTTACTTACATGTAATGTATAATAGCAAATAGATAAAAATAGGTTTTGAAATCGAAGTGTCGAAGAGATACACCTTTAGTATATGTTACATGCTTCACGGTTTAACTGCTTTAACACGAAGAAACAATAAGCATCATTATCATTTAAATTCCACCCTTTCCAACACTGCATTTTTAATTTGGGACAGGAAAAGAATCACAAACACAGGATAGCAACCTCACCTAAAGTTAAACCACCCTTTCCAACATTATAATTTTAGTGTGTATAGCAGGAAAGGACCCACGCGCGCAGGACAGGAAAATTGCCTACAAATTAAATTACCTTTTCCGACACCTGTAATTCTAGCGTGTAGCAGGAACAGGATCAGATACGCAGGCTAGGAAACTTAATGAAATAAAATCACCTTTCCTAACACGATAATTTTAGTGCGTGGCAGTAAAAGGCCAACACACAAACTGGGTAACTAAACTTTGAATGAAATCCCCCTTTTCTAGTATCATGATTGTACTATAAAGCAGAGGATGACCTACGCGCAGATTAAGAAGCTTAGATTTAAATTAAATCACCCTTTCTAGTACTATGATCATAATGTGTAGCT